AGCAAGCATAGTAGATTCTGGATAAATTATTTATACATATTAAGTGAATTTTTAAACACAAATACATGACAAAACCCGTAGACAGGGTTGTAGCTCCGCCCCTGATGCCCAGTGAACAACTTAATGAACTGTATACACAAATAGCTAAACGAACTATCTAAATCAACTTCATCATCAACAACAATTCCCTATTCTACATAAAACAGAAATCATTCCCAGTTATATTATGATTTCGGATAAATAAAAAGACCTCCAGAACTCAATAAAAAAGCACGACGACATGCAGCAACCACCACTATTCCCACCAGAATCCGAGTCCTGTCCAGGAACAATGATCCTGGTTCCCTTTAAAGATTGTGACTTCCCATAATCAGCTCCCGGAGCTGCAATAAGCATGTTCTTGCCAATGATTTTATAAATTTCTATTAAAACTTATAAATTTCTATTAAAACTGTCATGAATGCACCCTAGACGTTTGTGGATTGAAGAGCTGATGTTTCCATAAAGAAAAGATTCTCCCTTTCTGCAAATTCTTGAGCATCTTCAACTGGTACAGCTTGAAGACTTCCTAGATCACATTTGTTCGCGATGAGCATTATAACTATGTTCTTGTCCGCGTGACCTCTTAGTTCCTCCAGCCATCTAGCCATATGATCGAATGATTGGCATTTTGTTATGTCGTAGACTAGCATCGCGCCAACTGCACCTCGAGAATATGCACTTGACTGCGCTATACCTGAGAGAGATATGAGAGATGATTCATTGAGTTGCAACAATTACCAATTGGTAATGTTGCTCTGACTCTTCAAAAGAGGATCCTTTGAAAGTAGAGCATTTTGGAGGATCCGACATGGATGCGGCATTATTTTTCTCGAGAGTCCAAGAAACATAGCTTAACAAAAGGAAAATATTAATATGTATGCAGACCTTACCTCTACCTTTGCCGGGTAGAGTCGTAGAGAGGTTGTTTCGATAGGCACTCGACTCAAATGAGATGAATTGTAAGACAGGGAGATACCTTGTACAATGATAGAAATGAAAACTCGAGAAGAAACATACATATGAAAGTCTGAATCGCGATATAAATTAAAACACTCTTTAAGGAGATTAATCACAAATACAAGAACGTCTCAAATATCTCAATTAAGTTGGGATCAGCAATATGAATTCTAACTAATAACCATGTCGCTATATTTTTTATACCTCTGACAGAACTAGACGACTCCAAGAACACATAGGACCTAAAGTAAAACATTTTAACTCCTAGAACAAATAAATTAGTGATCAGACATTTGGTTTTTTTTTTTTTTTTTTCAATTTGCTTAGCCTATTTTGATTTGGCCAGAGGTGCTCTGAATCTCAAGAGACTATGGATAACAGATTGCCAATAAATGGAAGAAGTGATCAGAAAAGGAGAAGGAATCGTGACCGTATTTCCCCTGTTGGAAAAGCTGGAGCTTCGCAAGCTGCCTAAGCTGGGGCATTTCTTTCTGTTGATATGTGCTAGTCCACTGTGCTATAGTACCAGGTTAACAATATACTAGAATGCAAATAAGACCTACTTGAACAGTAACGACAAGGAGTTTTTACGTGGGAGTAAAACCACGACCTGTCACACGGGATTTTTAATTGTTTTAACTAATATCAAGCAATGAGTGAATACAGACTTTAACTACACCACAGGAGATTAACCTCTTAATCTCACTACAAGTAATAACTCTATTACAAGGAGAGCTAAAGCAATGTCTCAATTGCCCACTATATTAACTAACTCTAATTAGTATAGACTTCAATCACAGGACACACAATTAACTCTAATTGTGTTATGTGTTTTCTTCACAAAAAGACTCGATGCGTTTCTTTAAAGATTAGAAACGAATGTTACAATTTCAGCAGATTACAAGCATTTTCTTAACAACACTTCAACGACTCACTTGATAGCTCTATCAGGTCCCTAGAGGTGTATGCTTGAAAGCTTGAGTTTGTTGAAGACAAATTTCACCTTTTTGAATGAATAAATATCTTCGTTGTTGTTTGTTGAATATATCAATCAACCAAGGATGTATTATCCGTTGAACAAATAACCTCGTACATAAATATTCAGATACTTATTTATGTTTTTCAACTTCCTTGTACAATATTTTCAGTTAGAAATCTGAAGCATCACTATTCTCTGCTCCCACGAACAAAAATCTAGTCAAGGCACTACCGTTGGTGACCAATCTGAAGCTCCTGTTGGTGACCAATCTGAAGCTGCCGATGATTCGAAAGAGTGAACATGATTTTGGGGTGATGGCAACGAACCCAAACCTAGTGATGACAGAAGCTAGTAATGTCTAAGTTAGATTGAACATCACCTGATACCTACAGCGTGGTTTGTTGATTTTTGAAAGAAGGGGCGGGAGTCGAGAGTAGCAGCCTATTACATGTTGTCAGGCCCCTTTGATATATTATTAGTCAAGCGCTAGCGCCCCTTTAGAGTAAGATGCTCGTGATGGAGGTAATAACAGTTTTTGCCAAGAGACTTTGTATATGTATTAGTAATTTCTAGAAAATAGTTGATTGTGAACACACTTATGATAATTATATATAGACTTAAGGCCACTGTAGGATTCTATAAACATTAAATTCTTTGAATCCACAAGTGGTTCTAAATTCTTCTTTTTCATTATATTTAATAGCTAATATGTAGCTTTATTTTCCCATGACGTCTTGCATTCTTTGTCATTCTGAAAGATTTTAATGAACACTTTTTTGGAGATGCTTGTTCATCCATATTTAATCAAAGCATATACATAGCATCAGAAGAAAGCCTATAAAAGCTATCTTATTGCTTGTGATGCGAATGTTATATGGTATTTTGGCTCAATATTGGATACGAAAGCTCTTTAATATTGAGATAAAAACATAATAGGAATACAATGTTGTGTTACCAATGCATGAGAAGCCAAACTTTTGGCGTGTGGAGAGTGTTAAGCATCCACATTACTATATCAGTAGCATTGATTTGTACTTGACAATAAAAGACACTGATAATGTAGGAGTTGTTTACACTATCGATATATACAAGTTAAATTCTTATTTGAAATGTCACACAGACGTGTGAGATTCTATCATTTCCTTCAATTTACGACTTTTCTTACTCTGGAATTTGTTGGCTTTTGTGTGTTTGATTACTATGCAGAAGATGCATAAACACAAGTGCCAATAGTCGATACTAAATCACCATAAAACAACATAGTTGTTGATCAAAACAAGGACATAAACTTTGTTTAGGATGTTGTGAACATCATGTGCTCTACAATTTTCTCTGTTTAATAGCATAAACTTGATAACATTAAGGTTTAAAGTTTTTATTAATTCCTTTAATTGCTGGTAGCA